TAAATAAAGGTACAATTAAGTATAATTTTTTCTATGTATGGTGACTTTGAGGATGACCTATAGTATATGATTCCGTTTTTATTAGGAACCTAGAATAGTCAAATTCATAGAGACAGAAAGTAGAATGGTGGTTTACAGGGGCTCAGGAGAGGAGGGAATGGAGAGTCATTGTTTAATTAATGTAGTTTCAGTTTGGCATAAAGAGTTTTGGAGATGGATTGGTGGTAGCTTGCAAAACAATGTGAATGTGTTTAATGCCACTTAACTAAACACTTAAAAATGGTTAAGATTATAAACTTGTTATGTACACTTTACTAAAATTAAGAATTAAAAAGAAACTCACCAGAGGGCATAGGAGGGACCAAAATAATTTCTTTAAAAGAGCAGGGTTATATAATGATAATGCTATGTTTCTTCAAGGAGACATAACAACCTTAATGTATATGAACCAAACAACAAAGCATCAAGATACAGAAAGCAAAAAGTCATAGAACTTCAAGGAGAAATAGATAAATTCAGTCTTATGTTGAAGACTTCAAGGCCTCTCCATCAGAAAAGGACAGATCCTTCAGTGAGAAGTCAATGAAACGTGTAGTTGAATTGAAATGTACCATCAATGAACTGGGTCTAATTAATATCTATAATACTTTGTCTAATGACAGCAGAATATATGTTCTTCTCAGGCTCACTTGGAAGATTCATCAAGAGAGACTACATTCTGGGCCATGAGACATATCTCAACAAATTTAAAAGAATAAACATTACATGAAATATGCTCTCAGGACACAGTGGAATTAAACTAGAAATCAGTAACAAAAAGACAGCTGGAAAACCCTAAGCCAAAAACTCTTAGAGATCAACTAACACATTTCTAAAGGTCAAAGGACAAGCCTAAAAAGCAATTTAAAAGTACTTCATTCTCAATGAAAATGAAAATGCAATTCATCAAAATGTGTGGGGTGCCGTGAGAACAAAGCTTAGAGGGAAATACAGCATTGAATGCATATATATATATATATATATATTTTTTTTTTTTTTTTTTGAGACGGAGCCTCAAGCTGTCCCCCTGGGTAGAGTGCCAGGGCATCACGCTCACAGCAACCTCCAACTCCTGGGCTCAAGCGAGTCTCCTGCCTCCGCCTCCCAAGTAGCTGGGACTACAGGCGCCTGCCACAACTCCTGGCCATTTTTTGGTTGCAGCCGTCATTGTTGTTTGGCGGCCCGGGCTGGGGATTTGAACCCACCACCTTAGGTGTATGTGGCTGGCGCCTTAGCCGCTTGAGCCACAGGTGCTGAGCCTGAATGCATATATTATAAAATATATTATAAAAGAAGGAGAATCTATAATCTAAACTTCTATTTTAGGAAATAAGAAAATGAAGGAATTTAAATGCAAAATAAACAAAAGACAAGAAAAGAATAAAAATTAAAGCAGAAATCAATGAAATTGAAAACAGGAAATCAATAGTGAAGAAACCTGTTTCATTGAAAAGATCAACAAATTTGAAAATCTCTACTCAGGTTAACTAATAAAAAAGAGAGAAAGGACACAAATTACTATATCAGAAATGAAAAGTGGAGCCATTACTATTGATCCAATGGAAATTTAAAAAATAATAAAGAAATATTGGTTAGGTGTGGTGGCTCAGGCAGGATGATTGCTTTAGCTCATGCACTGGAAATCAGCCTGAGCATGAGCAAGACCCCACTTCTACTGACAATAATAAAATTAGCCAGGTGTTGTGTAGGCACCTGTAATCCCAGCTTGTGAGGCTGAGGCAGGAGGATTACTTGAATCCAGGAGTTTGATGCTGCTATGAGCTAGGCTGATGCCACTACAATCTACCTAGGCTGAAAGGGCAAGACTTTGTCTCAAAAAAGTAGAGAAAGAAAGAAAGAGGGAAAGAAGAAAAGAAGGAAAGAAGGGAGGGAGAGAAAGAGAGGGGGATAGAAGGAGGGAAAAGAGAAGAAAAAAGAAAGGAAAGGAAAAAAGAGAGGAGAAGAGAGGAGATAGTAGGGGAGGAGAGAAGAGGAAAGAGAAAAGAATATTACTGACTCTGCCCATAAATTTAAAAACTTAAATGAAATGAATAAATTCCTTGAAAGATAAAATCTATCAAAATTTATACAAAGAAAAATTGATGATCTCAGTAGGGCTACCTTTATTTTTCAATTGCATCAATATTTAATAACCTTCTAAAACAGACATGGCATGCTCAGTTGGAGTCACTGATAAATTCCACCAAACATTTAAGGAAATAATTATGCCAGTTCTCTACAATCTCTTATAGAAAATAGAAACAAAAGAAATTCTGCCTAACTTCCTAATTCTATGAGTTTGCATTACTCTAATATTAAATCCACACAAAGACACTGCAAGAAAGGAAACTATAGATCAATAATCTCTTATAAATATAGATGCAAAATTCCTCAACAAAACATTAGCAAATGGAATCCAACACTGTATAAAAAAATTAAACAACACAACCAAGTGGGATTTATTCCAAGTATGAAGGCTTATCCAATATTTGAAAATAATTAATATAGCCTATATTATCAACAAGATAAAGAAGAAAAATCACATGATTATGTAAGTAGATACAGAAGCATTTGACAAAATTCAATACTCATTCATGATAAAAAAAAAAAAACTCTTAGCAAACTAGGATTAAAGCAGAATTTTCTCAATGTGATAAATGAAATTTATAAAAACCCTAGTGCAAACATGTTTTCTGTTGAGATCAGGAATATGGTGGGTATATCTGCTTTCACCACTCCTATTCAACATTGTGGTGGAAATTGTAGCTAATTGTGCTAGAAGTTGTAGCTAATGCAATAAAACAAGAAAATAAAATATATGTAAAAGATTGGAAAAAATTGTCTTGGTTTGCAGATAACATGGTTATCTATGTAGAAATCTCAAAGATTAAATGAAAAACCAAGACAAAAACAAAGCCCTCCTGAAACTAATAAACAATTTAACAAGCTGCAGGATGAAAGTGTAATAGACAAAGTTAATTGTTCTTAAATTCCAGCAACAAAAACAATGAAATTTGAAACCAAAAACATAGTACTATTTCCATTAGTGCCCCAAATGAAATACTTCTGTATAAAACCAACATAATAGGTGTAAGATCTATATAAGGAACAATACAAAACTTTGATTTAATAAAATAAAAAATCTTAATTAATGTAGAGCTATTCCATTACATGGATAGAATGTGTTAATATCAAGATGTCGATTCTTCTAACGTAATCTATAAATGCAAAGCAATCTCATTTAAAGTTCTAGCAAGTTATATTGAGCATATTTGCAAACTGATTCTAAAGTTTATATGAAGATGCAAAAGCCCCAAATAGCCAACCATATTGAACAGCAATGTCAGAGGTCTGCCCTGACACTACCTGACCTTAGGCTTAATGCAAAGTTGCAATAATTGAGACAGTGTGCTCTTGGCAAAGAAGAAACAAACAGGTCAATGGAACACAAACAGACCCACTCCACTGTGCTCAACTGATCTTTGAAAAAGAAGAAAGGTAACTCAATAGAGGAAGAATAGTGTTTTCAACAATGGTGCTAGAACAGGTAGATGTTCACATGTGAAAAGATGACTCAGACAGACCTTATGCCTTTCACAAAAATTAACTGAAAATAGAACATAGACCTATATGTAAAATGCAAAACCATAAAACTCTTAGAAGGTAACATAGGAGAAAATCTAGATGACCTTGGATTTGGTGATTAAATTTAAAAACAGCACCAAAGGCACAATCCAAGAAAGAAATAACTGATAAACTGCCTTGCAAGAGACATGATTCAGAGACACAGAGGCCCAGGATTGATAGAAAACATTTACAAAACATATATCTTGATAAAGGATTGATATCCAAAGCATACAAAGAACTCTTAAAATTCAACAATAATAAAACAAACAATCTGATTAAAATGTGGGCAAAGATCTGAGCACACCTCTCACCAGGGAAGATGTTCAGACAGCAAATAAGGGCATGAAAATGTGCTGGGCATCTTATATCATTAGGACATTTCAAGTTAAAGAAACAATGAGATACCATCACCCATCTCTAATCAGAAACACTGACAAAACCAAACTCCAACAAGGATATGGAAAAACACAAACTCTCAGACATTGTGCCCAGGAATACAAATTGGCACAGCCACTCTGAAAGATAGTTTGGCAGTTTCCTACAAAACTGAACACATTCTTATCACTTCATCCAACAATTCCATTCTAATTTACCCAAATGAGTTGAAAACTTATGTCTATACAAAACCTGCACACAGATGTTTATATCACTTTATTAATAATCGCCAAAACTTGGAAGCAACCAAGATATCCTTCAATACGTGAATAATAAGTAGATGTTGGTATGTGCATACCATGAACATGATTCAGCAATAAAATTAATCAGTTACCCAGCACTTGAATACATATTTCTAAGTGAAAGAAGTCAGTCTGAGAAGGTTATATATTACACGATTCCACCTGTCTGACATTCTAGAAAAGGAAAATCGATGGAAACAGTAAAAAGATGAGTGGTTGCCGGAGGTGGTTTATCTAAAGCCTATTGCCTACACAAACTCACAATGGCTAATGAGAGTTTAAATATATACAGAATTTAAATGTATGGTGATAATAACACAAGAGGTCACAGGAAGGCATAACAGAACAGTATATAACTAAGAAGCTAAAAATGAAGAAAATGGAATAATGAAGGAGGATTCCTTTTAGCAAGAAGCAGAAGCAAGACTCATCGGCTTGGCAGAATCCTCCAGACACGGGTGTTCCAGCTGCCCCTTTCTGAGATGAAAGGTGTAGAATGAAAACTACAGGGAGTCTTTCTCCAGCCTTCCTCAAGGAGACGCTACAAATACCACCTGACCTGCAACCCTCACGGCAGCCAGCCAGGTGGCTCTACCCGGCTGAGACAGGGCTCAGAGACTCCTCTGTGCCTCCTGAAATAAGTGCTGTTGAACTTACAAAGAATGGAATCAGGCCGGCTGCCTTGTCTCTCTCCACGGCCTCCCGCAGGGCAGATTCTCGCATGGCAAAGCAGCCATCCGAAGGGATGGCTTTGAGTTTCACGCCACCAATTAAGCCCGCTCTCTCCACCGAGGAGTGTGCCTGGGAAGGAAGGGACAGAGTGAGGTCTGTGCAGGAGTATGAGCAGATGCATGTGAGGGTATGTGCTGGTGTACATGTGGGGGTGTGGGCCAGTGTGTGCACAGGTGTATGTGCAAGTATGTGGGGGATGTGAGATGTGTGTGCAGTATGTGGGGGGCGTGCTGAATTAGAGGGCTGTGCTGATGTGGAGGGGTGTACTGGTGTATGTGGGGGGTGTGCTGGTGTGTGTGTGGGGTGTGCTGGTGTGGGGGGGGTGTGCTGATCTGTGTGTGGGTGGTACGCTG